GTAAATTAGAAATCAATTTAGTTGCTGTCATTGATCATTCTTCAACATTTGTACCATCATTACACAAAAAGAATCAGAGAATCCCATTATTAACCTAACTGCACCCCCTGTTTTCCCCAGAAAAATAACAAAGAACAGGAATGCTAGCTACCACTATTATAGACTTCCCCCCTCTCTGTTAAGCCCACCAACCATCAACAAAATCTTTACCCAATACTTGTTAAAGAGAACCTTAGTTGATGCAGGTTTGAAACCAAATCACGTACTGAATAAGAAAACCTAGAAGAATTATATTTGAAAGTACTCTGAATTTTACCATTTTCTTAAAATCGAAACCTACCCACCAATCAAACAAACCTCCTGTTTTCTAGCACAACTCGCTGTAATCCCCACCATTTCATCAACCCTAGACCACATCTTCCACACATGGGAGCACAACATTAACACGTTTAATGATTTGATTTATTTATATGTATAAAAAAATAATTGCATTCTAACTATTTACAAAACACAAATATAGCATCAGCATTCCCACCCCAAACCCTCATTCACAATGAAATGCTATATTTATATAATTTCACTAATAATAATCATAATCATAAATATATACAAACATATCTTATGAATGACATACGAAAGGGGCATAAAAAATAATATATATATATATATATATATAAAGAGAGAACTCACCAGAAGTTTGAAGATTCAAAAGAGACAAACTTCAATGTGGATATTGAGTGAATAACAATGGTGATTTTGGAGCTGGAAACCGAATTAGGGCTAATGAATCAGAAAGAGAGGCAAAGCGAATTGGAAAAGGAAGAGCCTGATGTGTTTGGAAAGTCAATCTTCTTTGGAAGAAATCGTGCCCGCTCATGAGAGTAGTGGAAGAGAAAAAGGCGCCAATTTTGGGATATATTTTTACATAAAAACAATACATTCAAATATATATATATAATCAAATAGTGGTGGGGTTTTGGTATTGAAGATAACTCCTTGTGGAAGAGAGTTTTGTGCAGCAGGTATAAGTTTAGTGGTGGGAGATGGTTGCCATTTTCATGCCGAGGAGATTCTTCTTCTAAAATATGGGGTGGGATCTTAAGTGTTGGCCAATCAAACCCTCTTTTGCTGAGCATTTTTCTTCATAATTCTAAGCTGGTTGTGGAAAATGAGAGCATGATTCACTTTTGGTTTGATCAATGGTTTGGGCAACAAAGCATTCGGTTGGAGTTTCCGAGATTGTATAGTTTGTCAACAGAAAAGGATATCTCCTTGAGTGCGTTATTTGACACAAAAAGAATATCAGGGGACTGGAACCTGAATTTTCGAAGGTCATTCTTTGCATGGGAGGCCGAGGAATTAGTCAGCTTGGTATCACTCTTGAATCCGGTTGAGTTGGGGGCAGCGAGGAGCGATGATTGTTTGAAATGGCTGGCATGTCCATCACAACAATTTAGCGTAGCCTCCCTGTTGAGATTGCATGTCCCTAGCACTCCCTTGGCGTGCACTGGATTAATCTGGAACAAGATGGCTCCACCAAAAGTCCAATTTCTTTGTTGGCTGGCTTGGAGAGGCTGATTAAAGACTGCTGTTTTTCTGAACAAGATTGGAGTGCTGTATCAAAGTGCTTCACTTAATTGTGTTTTTTGTAGGAATGAGGACGAATCAGTTCCCCATGTTTTACTCTGGTGTCCTTTTGTTTGGCAAGTGTGGTCAAGATTGATGCAATGGTGGGGTGTGCAGTGGGTGTTGCCTGGTAGTGTTGAAGGCTTCCTTCATTGGTGGTTGGGTTTTACATGGAGAAAATTTGAAGCTAGAATCTGGAAGATGATTCCATTGGCAATCTTGTGGTCAGTTTGGAAACTTAGGAATGAAGTAATTTTTAGTGGAAGGCAACTTCGGCTTGATGATTTTTGTGATTTAAGTAAGGCTAGGGTGGCATTCTGGGTCAACGCTTACTCGAAGGGGTGCCCTTACTCAATCCAGGATTTGATCTATAACTTGCGGCAAATTCGTACCATACCTATCAGTTGAAGTCGTGACTGGGTTGAGTGTCTTTGTTTGTTGTTGGACTCTCTTTGGTTCCATGTTTTCAGTTTTATGGTTTCATTTCAGTTCCTGGTTGCTGTTGTTTTCTGGTGGCAGGGGAGGTGGTTTTAGTATGGTTGCAGAAATTGTTGCTGCAGTTGTTTCTTTGAGTATGGTTTTTTTTTTAGTATGGTTGTTACCACCTCATGCATCTGATTTCTTCCCAATGGCCGTGGCAAAATGCTTTGTCTTAGAAATGTGGGGCAAAAGCTAACATTTTTGTCTTAATAGAGTTTCAGCTTCCAAACTCCAGATGCAAAGCTTTCACACTCCAAGGGTAGACCTGTGTGGGAGGTAGAACATGAGTAGTTGTCTGTCATGGTCTTGGTAAGTAGCAGTTGCAGCAGTTTTGGGCCAGTGGTGGCTGTTGTTTTGCTTTTGTGTTAGTTTCATTTTGGGTGAGGTTTTTTGAGGTTGGTTACTCACCAACTTTCGATGGTGTGCTTGCAAATGATAGAACGGACTTATCGATGCCAACCTAGTTAGGATTGGTTTGTTTCGTTTTGATGCTCTTTGCACTCATCACTTTTTTCATTATTGTAATACTATTTTGGTTCATCAATAAAAAATTTCTTTTGCTGATCAAAAAAAATAAAAAATAAAAAATTAGAAGATGTGATTAAAATATATATATATATATATATATAATGACACTTAATTAAAAAGTGACAAAAAAAAATAAATATATCACATGTTAATTGGAACGTGTGATTAAAAATATATATATGCACTTAATTGAAAATGGCATAAAAAAATAATTATTATCACACTCAATCAAATTAAGTGTGATTAAAATATCAATTTAATTTTTTTTTATCACACGTCAAATAAAAGTGACATATTTTTATTTATCAAAGTGTGATCTTTAATTATTTTTGTAGTAGTGAATGATGGTAGTATGGTAGTGGGGTGGTGGTGGTGGTGGTGATGTGGTTGTTGTGGCGAAATTTTAGTTCGGAAAACTTTTTTCGCATTTGTTAGTATGGGTTGTGGCGATGATGGTGATAGTAATGGTGATGGTAGCAATGGTGTTAAGATAGTGAAGGGGATGGTAATTGAAGGAAATTGTGGCGGTAGCTAATTCATAGGGTTTAAAGGTGATTTTTTTTTTTTTTTATATATAGATTGAAATATTTATTCTTTGAATAGTGCTATTTTAGCTCAAAAAATTAATTTACTTTTCAAATTTAATAATATAACAATCTATTAAAATATCTAAGTAGGGCTGACCTTGACATTATGGAAGCCAATGTGAACTCAAAAAATGGGACCCAACAATATTTTAATATTGAGATAAATTTTGAATATTTTTTTTATTGTTAATCTTATTTGTTTATTCACACTTTTACTTGATATAGTAGATTGAATTATAAAATTTGATAAATTTCAACTTTAAAATAAATAAATAAATAAATTCTCTAGAGATAATTATAACTGATATAGTCAAATAATATTCTATTAAAAAAATTAGGTATATAAATAAATTCTCTAGAGATAATTATAACTGATATAGTCAAATAATAATATTCTTTTAAAAAAATTAGGTATTTGGCAAGCAAACAACCATCCATTACTTTTAAATATTTCATCAATTCAATTGTTTTATTATTATTATTATTAATAGAATAAATTTCAACTTCAAAAGAAAATAAATAAATAAATTCTCTAGAGATAATTATAACTGATATAGTCAAATAATATTCTATTAAAAAAATTAGGTATTTGGCAAGCAAACAACCATCCATTACTTTTAAATATTTCATCAATTCAATTGTTTTATTATTATTATTATTATTTTGTAAAATTTCATTTTTATTCTACTTTATTTCAATAAATCAAACATAACTTAACTGCAAAAATTATTAGGAGATCCTATTTTTTAGACAGAATTCAAGAGCCCGAGATGACAGCCTTGCTCGCATTGCCTCAGGGCCGGGCCTCCGTGTAAGACATCTCTCTCTCTCTCTCTCTCTCTCTCTCTCTCATGTCTTTTCTATTCATCAATTAATCATCTCACTTATTTATCGTTTGATATAGAAAATGGGCTTGTATACCATTTTTTTATTATTTACATTGGAAGAAGGAATAAATATTCTCATATTTTATTAGTATACACTTAAATAAGGCCTATTAAATAAAGGAAAATGAACGGAAACTTGATTGAATATTTTATTTTAGCTGATTCTATCATACCAAACATGTTGTCAAAATGTAAGAACTAATTATCCCAATTGAAAATATAAGAGTTAAAATGAAGTTTTGATGAAAGAGAATATGTATAATTTACTCGGAGAATTCTATTATAACACCTCTTATTATATACACTCTTAATTATGTTTTTTTTTTTTTAAGTTATGACCACTTTCTTTTTTAGTTTTAACATTATTTTGAGATCTTTAATTATGTGTCATTTGTATTTGGTTATAATTTTTTTTTCTTTTTTATAATTATGATTCATAAAATATGAAAATGTTATAAGATATATATGATGGATACCATTTGTCTTTCCCAATTTACCGTTCATTTTATACGCGTTATCATTTGTTGAGGACACTAGCTACCAAGGCTATGTTTGGTTTCAAGTTAAATAACCACTTTTTTGCTATCAAAAGTATCTTTGTTGTTTGGTTTGACCTTATTTAAGGATTAAAAAAAAAATTAAATAAAAAAATTAGCATAATTCATTCTATTTAGCGAAGTTTAAAAAAGTCTTTTCCTTCTTTCTTTATTCCCCCCCCCCCCTACGAGCAATCATATTACCTGATCACTACAGGAAAAAAGAGTTTAGGCGACGTTTGTTTAGCGACGTTTTTTTAAACGTCACTTTTTTTTAATATTTAACGACGTTTTATAAAACGTCGCATATTTACTTAATAAAACGTTAACGTTTTGTAATAGGAGGCGTTGAAAAACGTGTGTTGTGGGATTGCATTATGGACATATTATTGTGCATTTTAAGGTACAACGCGTTTGTCGCTTTTATTTAGCATGCTTTTGCAGCCTAAATGAATTGATCTATTTTCCCCTTAATTATATTTGTGTTTGAAAATTGTTTAGCATGCATGCATATATTGCTTAGATTTGAAAATTAAGATGGGTAAACCTCAAGGATGGTATACATAATACTCGGTAACTATTTGTTCCCTCCAAAGTCATTTGACTCAAACAATATGTTTTTATTTTAATTTTTTTAAAGTGATATAAATATTTTGGCACCGGTGTTTATAGTAGCGAAAAGATTGGGTAGGGAAAAACCCTTCTCTCTATTGTTCCTTGTATTTAAACCTTTATTGTGTTCTTTGTTTGATATGCTTGTTTTTGTTTTATTCTTGCATGTAATTAATGTTGGTTTCTATTGCAGGCCGCCACCTTGAGTTGCAAATATGGCGGATGGATCACAGCATCCATCAATTTCCCAGAAGATACATGGGCAATCTTATTTCTTATCTCGAATTTCTCCTAACTTGCGCTCCAGGAATACTGGTTTACACAATATGACTGGTGCATATGTAAATGGAGGTCTACAGAGTCCTCTGCCACCAACATTCCAAGGCACTGGCCTGGAATTTGCATCACCACTATCCTCTGTTTTTGTACAAGCTCCCGCAAAAAAAGGTTTTCGTAGTTTTATGATAGACTTCCTCATGGGAGGAGTTTCTGCTGCTGTATCCAAGACTGTTGCTGCTCCGATAGAGCGAGTTAAGCTATTGATTCAGAACCAGGATGAGATGATCAAAGCTGGTCGGCTGTCTGAACCATACAAAGGAATTTCTGACTGCTTTGCCCGAACAATTAAGGATGAAGGCATTATTGCTTTGTGGAGAAGCAACACTACCAATGTTATCAGATATTTCCCAACCCAGGTTAGCCTATCTTTTGTTTATATTTGTTAATCTTGCCATTTCTTTTGTTTTGTTTTTCTGCTCTCGATTAGTATGGGAGCAGTTATCTCCACAGTCTAAAACATCTCTTCCACAACCCTGCCTCTCACATGATGGGACAACCCCATGTGAGTGTGTGGTCTGCAGAAATAACAATTGCATAATAATTAGTGTATATATGTGTTTGCTAACAAAGGGATGGATTGACATCCTGAAATTTGAAAGGAAGTGATGTCTAATCTGGATTTGATTTAGGTCCTCCAAACAGCTTCATCCTGTCAGTTTTGGAAGTTTGAATTAAAAATGATGGCTTGTCGATGTGATTCATTAAGTTTCCGTTTTGATTTATCATTTGTTGACAACCATGTCTTGTTTTATAGAATGTCTCACAGAATTTGCAATTTCATCAATCCTTTTCAGGCCCTGAACTTTGCTTTCAAAGATTATTTTAAGAGGCTGTTTAATTTCAAGAGAGACAAGGATGGTTACTGGAAGTGGTTTGCCGGGAATTTGGCGTCAGGTGCTGCTGCTGGTGCTTCATCTTCTCTTTTTGTTTATTCCCTAGATTATGCTCGAACACGTTTGGCTAATGATGCTACAGCTACTAAGAATGGTGGTGGAAGGCAGTTTAATGGTTTAATTGATGTTTGCAGCCTCATAACTAATCCCATTATTGGATGATTTCCAAAATTTGCCTGGTCTATTATTTCAAATATTTTTTTGTTGGAGCACGTAATGTTATTATAGACCTTTTCGCATATCACTAGATACTGGCTTAGTCTCAAATCAATTCTTTTGTTATTTTTCTGCCTTTTTCTTTTGACAAATGTTCATTTGAATGGAAATAGGAGTTATTGTTTCATATTAGTGCTACTTTGCAATTTTATTACAAGTAATAATTTAAAAAAAAAAACAATTAAAAAAATAAAGATGTAATGGCATTTTTCAGAACCCCACTATATAGGTTTTTTAAAACTAAAAAAGCTATGATGACGTTTTTGAAATGTCGCTAAAAGTTGTCAAGACATCACTTTGCAGTTGAGTATCACATTTAGAGGCGTTTTAAAAAACGCCGCCTATAACAAATTAACGACGTTTCTAAAGCATCGCTAAAATTGTCATGACGTCACTTTGCCTTATGTACCACATTTAGAGGCGTTTTTTAAAACGCCGCCTATAACAAATTAACAACGTTTTTAAAGCGCCACAATGCTATAGCGACGGCCGCGTCCTCGGCGTTTGATGCTAAGCGTCACAAAAAGAATTAGTGGCGTTTTTGGCACTTATCGCGGCGTTTTTTAAAGGCCGCTAAAAGCTGAATTTCTTGTAGTGCCAAAAAAAAAATTGAGGAAAGAAACTTTTTTAATAAGATCTCTGTTTGTCAAGTGTTTTAAAATTCACTTTTTTAATAGTTATAATAACACTTTCCCATCTAAAATACATATAATATATACATAGTTGACAAACTCATTAAATTTTTGAGCAAATTGGTGATAAATCCAATTCAGAAAATGTCTAAGATATTAGATCTAGTGAATTTTTTTTTTTTTATTAGTGAGAGATTCACTTTTTGTGAAATAGTTTGGTGAGAAGTTCTTTTATTGGTTTTAAAGGACATTTTGTTTTCAATTTTATCCCTTGACATTTCTTATCTGTTGACTTTCGTTGACTACATGTTCAATTTTTTTCCTATATGTTCAAAAATATTTCTTATCTGTTCAAAAAAATTTCTATCTATTCAAATTTTTTCAATTTTATCTGTTTGATTTTATAGCTATCTATTCAATTTTCCTCCCTAAATTCTATCTATCTAATCAATTTTGTTCTCCTAAATTCTATCTATCTGTTCAATTTTTCTCTAAATTTTATTTAACTGTTCTATTTTTTCAATATGTTGAAAATCTATGTTAACTTGTTTGTTTATCTATTGCAATCATCATCATCAACATCAATTTTTTTCAAGATTTGTCTCATACATACACACACTCATAGACATACAAATATACACTCACAGATATACATACACCAACACCAATTTCTTGCAATCCAATCCAAACCATATATGTTTTAAACCCTATCATCATCATACCACAAATCAAGCACCAATTTTCTCTTTTTTACTCTGTTGTATTTTTTGAACCTATTTGTTCAATTTTTTGAATAAATCTCAAATTTTATCTATATAAATTTTAGCTTCAACAACAAACTACAAAATATATATATATATATATATATATTTGTTCAATGCAAAAACAAAAGCAAAAACAAAAACAAAAATAGAAGCAAAAGGAAAAACAAAAATTAACCAAACAAAGAGAATCCCCTATCTCCTAATTTTTTTGAATAGATCTACCTTATATTTGTTCATTTTCATCATATCTTCAGGTCTCTCATAATTAAAGATTTAATTCTACAAATTCAAATACCATTGAAGCACATACAGATCTAGTTCATTATTATCATCATCAACAACAACAAAAATAACAAAAACAAGAACGACAACAAAATTCGAAGCCAAGATCGGTTCAATCTGAACAGATCTTTTACAACAAAAAAATAAAAATAAAAATCAAAGCTAAAAGTATATAATTTGTCAAGAGACCAGATTAGAGATCGAAACCCTAAAGAAACGATGAAGAGAGAGAGAGAGAGAGAGAGAGAGAGAGAGAGAGAGATAAAGAGAAATAAACGATGATTTGAGACGTCGGTACGCAACGTCAGCATACAGACATCTCTGATGGCTTTGAAACTAACAGAGATATGGAAAACAACCTCACTAGTAGGGCTGTGCAAAATACCGCGCAATCTTCTAAAACCGCACCGATCCGCATCAATCCGCATCGCTCTAACCGCTAATCGCGGTTTAAACTTTAAAATTTATAATCCACCAACCGAACCATTCCGCTCCGCTATTATAGAGATCCCGGTTGTCCCTTTACTGTTCTGTTGTATTCCGGACTCGGTTCCGTGATGTTGGTGGTGGTATACCTTGTTGTCATCCTTTAATTCCACTTGATTGAGTTTTAGGATGTATTGGGCAGAGTTGTTACAGGTTGGTTAGGCTTTGGTTTCAATTCTTTGTTGCCCAGTTTTTAGGAGGTCCGCTCGAGCAGGTCTTCTTGCGCTTGAGAGGAGATTGCACACTCCCAGTGTTTTGATGCTCTGCAGAACTTCTGCAGGTATGTTTTTCACGCTCGAGCAGTTTTCTTTGCGCTCGAGCGGGTACTTTGGCACTCGAGCGGGTAGTACCTTTGGGTGTAAGTTCTGGGAGGGGGAAATCTACGCTCGAGCGAACTGGTTTTCGCGCTCGAGCGGATGTACTTTATTCTTGTGTCTTAGCGCTCGAACGGGCCTTATTGCGCTCGAGCGGACCTAGTTTTTTGTTCTTGACGCTCGAGCGTTCTGTTCTCCGCTCGAGCGGGAATGTCGTATATCAGTTGGCAGTTGGACATTTTAAAATCACTTTTTACATTCTCTCTCTCTCTCTTACTTTCTAAAAAGACTTTTGAGAGTTCCTCTCTCTAGAAACTCCATTCTCTCTAGGGTTTGATCTAGTTAGAGTGTTTCCCTTCCCTTCGGCCTTTGTAAAAGTTGGGTTGATCGTCGAGGGCTACACATCGATCCGAAAACATTGAGTTTTGAAGCACGTTGAGTTTCTTCACCTTCTTTCCTTGAGCTCCGAATTTGAGGTAGGGATTCCTACTCACTCTTATGGGTTTTGACCTAGATTTTTGGGCATTTTGTTAAATGGTTGATTTTGGCACTTAGGGTTTTAAAAAGTATAAATGGGGTTTTTGTCATTTTGATTCTTAACTATGTATTTTGGATTTCAAAATGGTGTTATTGATGTTGGTTGTTGATATTTAGACCATTGGGTCAATATTGGGAAATGTGGTAGAAAATCCTTAATTGCGTTGTATAAATTAATGGTATGGTTTAATTTGAGAAGAAAATGGTGGTTTAATGGAATTGAGTTGAAATAATTTGAAATTGACTCATTGTATGGTTGAATAGTGGAGTTAATTTATTAATCGCCTCACTTTGAAAAACATTGATATTTATCTCGTTTGGGCTTTTATATCTGGTTTAGAATAATTGCTTATGGGCTACCGGTTGGAGGGTAGTTTTGATTGTTGTTAGACCAATGCATGATGATTAGGCTAACTAAAACTAATCAATGGATATGTTCATAGGGTACTGACGGTTGATGAATTACATTAACGTTATCTAATTGATTGATTGTGTATATGACTTTTTGTGTATATACGTTTATGTGCTGTTGGGAGGAGATAGGGGATGTACTCCACGGTTTTAGGGAAGCATAGGGGATGGACCTCTGAACCAGATGTTTTTGGGAGGAGGTTAGGGGATGGACTCCATTGATACAGCTCATATGCTGTCAGATATTGTTGCTGATATTTAGCTCATATGCCTTATTCTTTTGGAAGTGTTGATATAGCTCATATGCTTATCTTTGGAAACGTTGATATAGCTATTATGCATATCTAAAATGTGGATACAGCTTGTGTGCTTATCTGTTGAGATGTTGATACAACTAGTATGTTTATCTATTGTAAAATAGGAAACGTTTAATATGAGTTACTGTCTCATAAGTGGTTGGCCAGGTTCTAAGCCATTGATGTAAATTGTGAAATTGATAAGAAATGGAAACTGAAATGAAACATGAACACAGCGGTCATGAAATGGAAATAGATTATGAATTGATTTATGGAACTTGAACATTTATCAATTGCTAATGTCTTAGTTATTGCTCATACTGTGTTTAGCATATTTTTACTGGGCGTTGGCCCACCCTATATGGGACATTATTTTCAGGTACAAGTAGTATGCCACCTCCAAGGACATAGCTTGGATGATGATGAGAGTTGAAGACTCTTTTGTTTATTTTGTTTGTATTACATGTATATCAAGCCAAGGGCTTATTTTGTATAGAGTTAGTACTCCTTCTTTTTGTAACCAAGTGTTAACTTGGAAAGCTGTAAGCCCATAGGGCATTTGCTTTTGTTGTTAACATGTAATACAGTGTAAGAATTGCTCTGATGAATAGAAATGGTTGATTTCTTTTATATTAATGCATGTTTAAAGTAATGGGTTTTATGTATTGTTTTGAGGGCGTTACAACTTGGTATCAGAGCATACCGGGTTCGAATACTTTGGGTACATAGGAAGTGATTAGGATCACAATGGGTTTGTCTCGTTTGATAGAGACTTAGATGTAGTGTCATATGATATGTGCTTAATTGATAACATGCTTATGTGACTATGTGGGTATGGGATTTAGTTTCTAGGATGTTGATTGGATCCTTGGGTTTCTGTTAGTCTTGTTGGAAAAGCACTTGATTAATGCTGTTTCTAACCGAAACTCTAGTAACGCCTCGGGACTATCATTATCCGAAAATGAAATTCGTAAGTGCTTATGTGTTTATGTGCTTACGTGGAGTGAATTACAGTTGTCTATGCATTAGGACACGAGTGTTTAGTTTTGGCACATTTATGAATGTGTTAACGTTCTTCGTTACCTTTATTAGGATGTCAGGACGAGGACGTGGTAGACGAGGCAGACGTGGTAGGCAGGAGATGCCTTTACCGGATGATATTCCGGCACAGCAGGAGGGGGTTGGCCAGGCCAATGTGGCCGAGCCAGCAGGTCAAGAGGCTATGGGCGCTTTAGCCTGAGGGATAGCCTATGCTTTGAGGGAGTCTGTGGGTATTTTCCGAGTTGAGAATCCAGTTC